GGGGCTTTGGCTCCGCCACTGATGATGATAATAATGATGGTAGTGGTGGTAGCTTTCACATTTTCTGATTATTAAACAGGTATTTTATTTTTCAGAAACACAAATTTTGGATGGAATCATATCGAACAGATACTCCTAGGTAAGGCATTTTTACATTAGTTTTTGCGCATTAGCCATTCCAATGACTTTTGTAGATATTCTCGCTCACAAAGCACTTGTTGTCTTAACATCTGAGGAATGAGATTGATTTAACGTACAATACACGTGGTACACACAGCTAATGCTTTGTTATTTTTTTTCAGTTGGTTCTTTGCAAACTGTACTCGAGAATTAGCAGAGAAGATTTTATTGGGCTCTCCACAGCTTGGTAATACCTTGATGAGAGAGAGTCATACGTATAAAAATAATGGTAGTTATACCATCAGTAAACTACTGTCTGTAGAAAGGTAATATGTGGAACTTATGTATGGTATTAATAGGAAATCGGGAAAAGGGAATTGAACAGGGTAGCGATTTTTTTAGCCCGTATACGATTTCATCCATATTATGCGTAAGGAAGATTGCAGACTTCGTCCTGTACGAGATGAAAAGGGACAGAATTACTTTGGTGTGAAGGTAAAAGTAAGTTACGATACTAAAAAAGTAAAACTGCATTGTAATCTGAATAATGTTTTGAATATTAAGCTTAATCATTACAACTAATTGTTTTTGTAGATCACCATTATCACATTTTGAAGTTATCAGAGTTGCGGCTGGATATAAAATTAATGCTGAAAATGCGGTGAGTGAGCTTAACGTGTCCTACAACATATTGCTAAGATTGCTGGTCTCAAGCGATCCATTTTATGGGCACATTCAGGAATTGAAGGCACCTTATTTAATTGAAAGGGGTCCTGTAATGGTAAAAGTAATGGTGTTGATAGGAGCAAACGGACAGACATGCTGGCTGATCATATCAAATCACATCTGGTATCCTTGATTGATCCTTATCGATTAATGGATTACACACGATAGTGCTCATATTAGATATATTGTCTGGTGAAGACGCTCAATACCTTCAACTCCGTGAACAAACTGCAAAACTAAACCTTTCATTACATATGCTTATATAGGTATTTCTTAATTCATTCCAGCCAGAGACATTTCAGTGTTTATCAGAAGTCATGAAACATTTTGTAAGAATATCCGGAGCTGCAGCTACCAGACCTTTCGTAACCAATGATTACAAGAAGCTGGGAATAGAAACACCAGATTATACTACCAAAATAGTTAAAGGTATGACATCAGTCAATATCTATAGCATCTGTTTTTGACATTTACTCCAGCTGATGGCATTAGATAATACTTCTTACTTTTTTAAATCATTTTTACCTCTAATAGGTATCAATAGTACCCGATCTTTTTCGTCGCTCGGCTGCATTTTTTGCGAAAATAGTTAGAAACCGGGGAGCATTGTAGACCTATACATTCAGGGAAACAGTTCGAACAGCAGACAATATTGTTTCCTTTCATTTTACAGTTGATAATGACAATGGAGAGCAGTTACCTGAACGTAAGTAGATGATCTTTTCTTGCAAATCATGATTTAATATGCTTGCTTAAAGAGAGTGTAGCTGTTTTTTTAGAATTCTTTTTGATTGAATTGGATTCCTTCAAAAGTTATACGTGTATGTGTTTTATTTTACTTTAGAGTATGAAGAACCGCTACCACCAAGTTGTAGACCAATGGATGGAAGTAAAACTTTACCAAATAGAGCCAATATGTCTAGTTAGTACCATACTCATTTTCGTACTTTGTCTCATTGATTCTGTCATTAAAGTTTAATGAACGTATTGCCATACACAAGAGCAAGCTCACTAGGGCGAAAAGTTTGTATCATAATTTTTAAGAGAAAAACCCATGAACCGATACCCAATCCTACGTGCCATATCCCCATTCCAATCTTTTAATGGTATAGACACATTCAATTTAACGGTTTATTTTGCAGGCTTCAAGTCAGCATTACCATCAGCAACTCAGGTTGGACCTAGAGATCGAGCTCAACGTCCTGGCTTGGGACAAGTGGATCACAGTGCAGCTATGGCCGGTAAGAGCGATTTCTAGAATTGTCCTTAGTCGTAGTAATTCAGTATCACAAAGTGTTCACGTTTCTTCACTTATTCTTAGATTCCTTGAAATACGTTATAAGATCGTAAGAAAATATAGGTCTCGGGATGGTGATGGTTAACTTGTTTTCTTTTATCCAAACGCAATCGGTCAGATGAAAAAAAAATTTCTTATAGTTTTCTAATTTAATGATCACTATTAGATTTATTTAGGCGACTTTCTCAAATAACAGGTGCATCGTTGTACTCTTTTAACGTACTTGATAGTTTGTTCGCAGGCCTTCAAATGTTTTGGGGGCTTTCTTGAAGAGTTGTTTCTGTACCCTCTTTAATGAAATCCTTTAGGTTAAGCCCGAAGAAGCTAACAGAATAGCAGATTGGAATAGAAATCATTTGATTTAGATTAAAATACCAGATTCTGTTATTTACCTTTGAAAAGACTTCTTTGAGCCTGTCCGAGTGCTACTAACATAGCAAACGTACATAATTAGGTGATTATAATTAGCACTGCTTTGGTGTATGTTTTTAGTAGATTAGTTAGTAGAATTTGTGCTTTATTTAGGTGCTTTAAGTGATTTAGATACGACTATTAAACATTATGATGATGAACATCCTTATAATAGAAGAGCTTATTCCGAGTATAAAGAGGGTAAGTAAGAAATATAATAAGATAAGAAATGATGCTTAACTCTAATCAGGAGCACCCTCAACTTTCAAAAAAGAAGATATTTGTTGTTTGTTAATAGATTGTCTTTCCTTTCATTTTTGTTTCCTTTTTTTATTAGCCAAGCCGGTCACAAGAAGAGTCATAAACTCATTAATGTACATTGATAAAAACATTTATCTAAATGGAAAGAGCGGTACCAGTAATACTCTGGAAATTATTACGCCACTCCTAAGAAACAGAGAATTTCACTTTGAATAAAGTTTTAGATCCCAAACAAGGAATTATAAGATATAATGAATATCTGGTTTATTAGCATGTACCATATTAGGTATGTCAAGAATCAGACTTTCATTCTTCAGTGCAAAAACTGATAACCTTATGACTTTGAAAATAATTTCAGTAAAATATCTACCAATACCTCCAGACCCGCCATCTGCTCAGCAGCCACATATCCCTGTCGATGCTAGCACTAGTAAGTCAACACTTTCTTTTTATAGGAATTTTTATTGAGATATATATTACTGTGCTTGTTTCATTCAACTCTCTGTGCATTGTCTACGAATAACGTATTATAACTATTCAATCCAGCCTATGCAAAGTTATGCGGACAAGACACTTTTGAATAAGACTAAGAGGGATTTAAGCAGACGGGAAATCGCACAAGCCTCATCATATTCGATAGTCACAATTGTAAGAACCACTGACACCTGACTGGACATTTGATTAATCCAAATCGATGCTATCAGTGTCCCCAATACACATAAAAAGTTGAGAAAACCTCTTTACAAGACCTTTAAGTTCAAGTTCTTAAAGATTATAATATTGCCGAATTCAATGTTTTAAAGGTAATTCTAGACCGAAATCGGGTGGATTCATGTCCTTATTTAGAAGAAGGACTAAAGGTAGACTGTGTTGGTGGTATCGAATCTAACAATGCATGGCCAATGTATTATATTGTGTTGTTATCTAATATATATATATAATATGTGTTTGTTATAATGTTGACATATTTATTTATGCATATCATTATGTTTAATGCAGTAGAATAGATGACATGTATTCTATAAATAAGCGGAAAAGATTTATGTCATACATAAAATGAGCCCACGGAAAATTTTAATGGATTTTATGATCATTTGCTTTATAATATATATTGCGAGATGGGAACATGTTAGCCTACTTATAATATAGCGTCACTTTAGATCACAATCCTTTCTGTCGTTAGCATTACGCATTAAAAATGCACATTAAATGAAGACATTTTCAAGGGATACTTATCGGTATTTACCTGATTGTCGTCGTAAAACCATTTACCATGATACTGTACATGAAATAAGTATACAAATGAAATCGTTATAATTCATTTAACCGCTATCGTTGGAGTGTGGCCATTGTAAACAACTGAATAAAATATACTATCATGTTAATCTTTAGAATATCTGTGCTGGAGCTTGGTTTGTATTCCCTATTTGTATTATAGGTGCTGTATTAAAAACCTGTCGTTCACAGTCGGTTCCTGCAGTTCAGTTTAATCCTCTTGAACAAAACGGTAAGTTACCAAATGAAACATTTATACTTGCGTTAAGGTGGATGTCAATGGAAAAATATTATGTGTTTCAATTGTGCTCATGGTGTTCCACTCCAAGGGCTATGTTGAAATCGACCCTTCCGTCTATACAGCATCAGTGCACAATTTACTTTAACCGTGCGTTATTTTTATAATAACCTTTGACTTCCATATTGTAAATGAATTGAAATCAATGGAGTTCTACGTCCTACTTTTCTGCACCATGTGGGCTAATGAAGACGGGCAACGCCATGCAAGGTACAATGAGGGAAATATTGCCTGGACAGTGGTATTAGTCTGCTCTTTTTCGATTTCCAACTGTTGAGGGATCTTTAACGTGCATAGCCTGTAGCATTTGTTACCAGCTGTTCTGACGTGGCGTCATCATAAGATGAGAAATCGTACATGTAGATACTGTATTACTTATTGATTACATTTACAGTTCCAATAACACGACCAGGGATGGTCAAACGAAACCAATCGTACAGAGAACCAGACCATAACAGACAACCACAGAGTCCAAGGAGTGTAATTCAGCCAGCAGGAGGATTTGACCCCTACAGACATGGCTGTGTACCTGCAAACTTGAGTGGCCAAGGAAATGCCTCACCGGAAGATCCATATAGAGCCAGTGCTTCGCTTTCGAGTGACCCTTACCGACGAGATCAAGAGAATCCTTATAAGGGACGTAGCCTTCCACCACCACCAACAGAATGTCATAACGCTCAAGTATACCAAAACTTCCCACTTCCTAAGAACACAACATCACCCACGGATAGTCCATTGAACAGCCCTCGTACACCAACCTCTCCACGACTTTCAGTGGGCGATTCTATGCTACTTGGTGATATCCAGTCTCAGTTGGCGAAATTAAAACCTACAGGTAAATCTACCACAGGTCCACAGTCACCAGAAACCAAAGCCACCATTAAAGATCCGCAATCACCCGGTGTAAAATCACCTCCTCCAGTAGCTCCCAAGTCTAAACCAGCCGTCCAGACTGGTAAGTTCTATTTGTAAGCTGTTTTTATTAATGTCCTTTGGATTCTTTCATGAAAGGATGTGCTTCAAGAACATCGAACACTCACTCCAGCTAGGCAAATTTAACTTTTCATTGCAAGATGTCGAATAGTTATTGTTAAATTCCAGCTCTGTTAAATAATAATATAGTTTCTAACGCTTAGTTTATAATCCTAACCATTTGTATAACCCTAATTCTTATTGCAGTTGTTGATTCAGTTTCAGTAATATATCTATTTATTAACTAACACCATGGTTGATGGATTCAGGGAAATAGGCGATTTTTAGTGGGCTTCATTACTTTTATAACCATTTTATTTTCATATTTCGCATTATTCTTAATTTATTTCTGAAACAGCTAACACTTATAGAAACTTAACCAGTAGTTTTAGAAAATCTAACATTAGAGTAGAAACTAAACAGCTTATAACAGATGAATACTATGAAGATATAGATACTTACATCAATAACAACTACCATTCTAACTCAAGTTGGTGTGATGTTTATGATGATTGCTATGTTCCACACAATATTGTAGTTAATACAAGGACGATTGGTAATGTGTCGACAGTTGATAACGCATCCAGTGAATCCAGAAAGGATATCAATGACAATAATACCAATATTATAGAAGAAAGTCACCCTACAGGTACCTTTATGATACATTCAGAACGTACCGGATTTGTTACATATCATATACAATATACTTGTTACGTTTCCTTATGGGAAAGAAAATAGTTCAGTTCTTGTTTTCTGTGCATGTCCTTCCTGAATACATAGTCTCATAGCTAGCAAACTTATGAAACAGGTCATGTAGATGTTTTATTTGCTTTACGAGGCAATTGCTTGAGTTCATTAACACCAGCTCGCTGCCATGCTTGTATTACTTATGTAATTAGTTTAGACAAATAATTAGTCTGTTAGATCTGTAGTTTCTTATAGAACCTAAGGTTGAGACTACTTTAAGGGCGAGGCGTCTTACCTGAACTTCCAACCAGGTTGTTCTTCAATCCTGCATACATCTCTGTTTTAGGTGAGGACAAAGAAAATTTGAAAAAGAAACTTGAAGCGATGTTCTCAGGTAGTACACCAGTGGCTCCCATCCCAATGATACCAAAAACAAAATCTGTTCTGAGCCTTCCTCTTCCACCAGTGCCAAAGGTTGATCAGATTGAGGATGAAGTTTACGAGGAGATAAAGACAACACTGGATTAAAGAGGCTAAGATAAAAACGTTGTTTGTTTGTGATAATTGACTATAAGTATAATAATCCTACACAACTCTTGAATATTGTTGTATAGTTAAAAGAAGGTATAGACTTTTATATGTATATGATAGAATTTTTGTGGATTAAACGAAAACGCTGCCTGGTATCATAACATTTATATTAATGTTTCCGTTACAACTTTCTATCAAACCGAACAGGGTTTAAAACTTGTGATAATAATGGACCACTTATATATTTATATACATATATACTCAATTAACAACTTACCTGAATCAATAATAATCATGTAATCCGGTGTTTATATCAAAGACATAGTGTAACTTCGGAATCACCACATTTTCGCAGAAGGTTGTTATGTTTCATCTTTACTTTGATCAAGGTGCGAAAATCTCTTCATTTTAACTCTTTAACTTAAATGCAAAACTTAAGAATTTGGTTTAAGTTATTTAAAAGATAAGTGGGAAGTACTGATGGAAGTGGTTGATTAAAGCAATGTTTTAGTCAAGAGTTAACAAGAGTACACAGTAAACCTGAACACAGTGGAATGTCTCACTAGCTTGAGATTAAATGTTTATATTATATGTATATATTCACTCCTCTCATCTGAATATTTACTCATTGTACTATATGAAATAAAATATTCCAATTTAAAAATATTTTTGTGTTTGTTTTACATTCAAAACACCATATTATTATTTTCTTCCATTCATACTTAAGATATTTGTAAATGAAATGAAATTTCCTGCTTTTCTGCAGCCAAATAATCTGTGCTTCCTGAGCTCCTCAACCCACAGCAGCCAAATGCTTTCAAAACAGCTGATTATATTTCTAGTAAAACCACAACAAAACTTATCTTCACACATTTTGCATATTATTTAATAAATACATTGACATGATATTTTATAATATATTGAATAACAGAGATAACAAAATGGTAACAAAATAACATAGAGATAAACAATAGGTATACATAAAAAACCTTAACACATAACATCAAGGTCTGTCAAAGATAGTTTTTCACATCAAGAAACATATTTAACAAGTAAAATTAAATTCCAATAGATTGTTGCAATCTGATTTCCATTTCAATACAAATCTGTAGATTTGAATCACGATTTAAGCTACCCATGAACTCTTCTTGTTTTATTTTGCAAGATGATCATTCATCAGCTACAATAAACATATAAGAGTTATGCATTTCAAAAAAACAAAAACATTGTCACAATAAGCTTCTAGTAAAAAATAGGTATATAAAATAATTTTAGGTAATGATCATCAACTCATAATTCGATATTTCCATGAGTTTGACCTTGATTTTTAGTATTCCAAAAACAAAATTCCATGGAAACATTTAACTTTGAAAAACTTAAAAACAAGAAAGAACTGCTAAAACACACAATAGGCTTAATAAAAAGACTGAACCCACGAAGTCAACATGCTTTCTGTCAATATAAATTGAATGTTAAAACACATTAGAATAGCCATACTCAGTACTCTATATTTTATTAATTACTTTCACAGGTATCATAATAAATGTATATAAGAAAACTATGCAATAATGAATAGTATGTAGTATAAGTTAAAAGTTATTAAGAAATGCTATCATAAGTTAAAGTAATAGCGAACTGGTGGACCCTCCAAATCATCATCCTCATCATTTTCATTTGTAAAAGCTAGAATTAGATCCATGTATTTTGTATGATTGTTTGGTTTCAATAGCTTAACCATACTGAAAGAAGAAGCAAACAGAAATAATTAACATTTCATGTTACAGGACTGTAAGCAAAATTTTCAAAATATTAAACATGTAAATCATGCCTGGAAATATTTCTAAAGTTTGTTGTTAGGCCTTATATAGACTTGATGTTTTTAATCGAAACCTTGAAAATTTGTTTGAGACAAACTTTACATCCGAAAATATCCTAGTGCCCCTTTAAGTGTATAAAGGTTCTCATTTTTTAAAGTGACACAAGTCTTCCATCAGGTTTGAAAACTTTGTTTAAAATTCAAGTACATAAACTTATAAAATAAGGAAACTCAATGGTTGAAGAAGAATAGTTTACAAGATATTGTATATAATAAACTTACGTATGTGACTTTCTTTTCATGTGACCAGGCATGATTGGAGCAAATATCATCTTGGCACCGTGAACCACCATACTGGGTTCTAAACTGTATTTAGCCTGGAATAGTAATGATTTGATGAAAATAATCATCAAAAGAGATTGCAATTATAAAATTATGGTCATGATTCAATACTTACTATAATAATGGGCATATTGAATAAGAAGGCAGAACTGGGACAATTTTGTCAAACTTCATCATCATTTCAGGGGAACAAACATACCACAATAACATACATATCGTGGGTGACGGCTTGCAACCTCGTATCTGCCATATTTGGTCATTTTGCCTTTTTGGTACCGTTCGAAAGCTCGTAGAAGCCCAGATCTTGTGATCAAACCTCGTATTCTTAGCTTGATTGTAAATATCTCAAAAAGCACTAATTAAATAACAAGTATATAAACAGTCAGATTTAAAACCTTGTAAAATATATTATTATAGGAGGTTCAATGTTCCTTTTCTGTGGATGAAAATAAAAAACCCCGTATACTGTCTTATTTCACGAGTTTTTGGTTGGAGATCTCAAATTGTTATACAAGGTTTATATTTTCAAAGAATGAAAACCATGTATAGCGGTAAAAAAAATAATAAAAAAGATTTTAACAAAATACGCGTACAAATAGTTTTTTTGCGTTTTTCTGGAAAAGTAATTCCGCGTCATATATCGTTATAAGAGGTTTCAAGTGGTCACCCACGATATTGCTGAAAGATTGTACTAGGGTATCTAATCCGAAATGTTATGAAAATAAAGGAATTCTTCTTACCTTGAAATGATCTAAGAAATTTTGTAGTGTAAAATCTTTGTTACCATATACTTCCCATTTATCCCACATAGTATAGGTTAATGTGTCCCTGTCAAAACAACATGGATTCTATTAAAATTTCATACATTCATGGTAGAAAACCAAAGTTAGAGCTGTTTCAGCTTGTCAAAGATTTAGATTGAGTTGCATTATTCACTATTGAAATGAATTATAATGACTACAGTGACAGTGTATTTTCACTCTACCAGTAACCTTTACTGCAAACTTTTACTGTCTCTGAATTCTCATATTGTATAATTATCATTCAGATTATTAACATATCTAAAAGAACTTAAAGCAGTTTTCAGGAAAGATTTGACAACATTGTATATTAATAGATTTTAATGCTGTCAATTTGATTTGGACTAACAAATC